TGATTTGGGCAGGCCGCGGCCCTCCTCAGTGATGCTGACAACCCTAAACCCTAAACCCTAAACCCTAAACCCTAAACCCTAAACCCTAAACCCTAAACCCTAAACCCTACTCCGCTTCCGTGATTGTCCACTTCTCACAGATTAAAACTGGGGTTGAGGCTGGTCTAGGGTTTGGGGTCTCAAGGTTTGGGGTTTAGGGAGGGTGTAGGGTGTAGGGTTTAGGGTTTAGGGTTTTGGACCTTTGGTTTAGGGTTCAGTTTTAAGGTTTCATAGGGCTTATAGGGCTTAGGGATTCTGGCTGGGGGAGCAACTGCATAGCCTTCAGGCTTATTCAACCTCAGCAGCAAGAGCCTTAACCTGACCCGAAGCCTTAATCTGAAGCTCAACCACCAACCACCCCACACCCTAACCTAGAACCCAAACCCTCTCACCCATAAACCCTAAACCCTAAACCCTAAAACTAAAACCCAAACCCTCTTGTTCGGGCTTTACAGGTGCTTGCAACGAGAAGCTGCGAAGAAGAAGGTGTCGTCGCAAGGGGCGCCTGACACATTGGTTAAGTCTTTAAGTGGTTTTGGGCTTACAAAACATCGGATTGTGGGGTCCAGCGGGTGCTGTCCCCCCAGCACCCTAAACCCTAAACCCTAAACCCTAAACTCAAGCGAGCTGCGGGTGCTGCGATAAGCAGCAGCGAGCGTTACCGCGTGGCGACAGGCCCGCGGACGAGCCCGAGCCGTCAGGCGAAGCCTGGCGAGGGCTCGGGGCCAGTGCGCGCGGTGAGCGCGGCCCACGCTAGAAGGGTTGAACCCGCGTGCCAGCGACAGTCTGGCTCTAAAGAGAATAACCCCAAACCCTAGGTTTTTAAGTTAAGTCTCTCCATCCTTTAGGATTTAGGATTTAGGATTTAGGATTTAGGATTTAGGAATTTAGGATTTAGGATTTAGGATTTAGGATTTAGGGTTTAGGACTTTAGGATTTAGGATTTAGGGTTCAGGGCCTTCTGGAGGCTCTCCCAGACCCTCTCGGACCAGACCTAGGCTTTTTGGGACCATTTCTGAGCCTGTTCGGCTCAGTTTCTGAGCCTTTTTGGGCTCCTCCCGGACAGTTTCCGAGCCTTTTTCGGCTCCCCCCGGACAGTTTCTGAGCCTTTTTTGGATTCCTCCCGGACAGTTTCTGAGCCCTTTTAAGCTCCTTTCTGAGCCTTTTTGTGCTCCTCGGACCGTTTCTGAGCCTTTTTGTGCTCTGCTCGGACAGTTCTGAGCCTTTTTGGGCTCCTCCCACACCGTTTCTGAGCCTTTTTAGGCTCTTCCCAGATTCTGAGCCTTTTTTTGCTCCTCCCGGACCGCTTCTGAGTTTTTTTGGGCTCCTCCCAGACAGTTTCCGAGCCTTTTTCGGCTCCTCCCGGACAGTTTCCGAGCCTTTTTAAGCTCCTCCCGGACAGTTTCTGAGCCAAAAAGGCAAAAAGGCTCCTCTCGGACAGCCTCCCGGACAGTTTCTGAGTCTTTTGTGCTCCTCCCGGACCGTATCTGACAGTTTCTGAGCCTTTTTAGGCTCCTCCCGGACAGTTTTTGAGCCTTTTGTGCTCCCCCCGGACAGTTTCTGAGCCTTTTTAGGCTCTTCCCGGATTCTGAGCCTTTTTGTGCTCCTCCCGGACCGTTTCTGAGCTTTTTTGGGCTCCTCCCGAACCGTTTCTGAGCTTTTTTGGGCTCCTCCCAGACAGTTTCCGAGCTTTTTCGGCTCCTCCCAGACAGTTTTTGAGCCTTTTTAAGCTCCTCCCGGACAGTTTCTGAGCCTTTTTGGGCTCCTCTCGAACAGTTTCTGAGCCTTCCGGACAGTTTCTGAGCATTTTTAAGCTTCTCCCGGACAGTTTCTGAGCCTTTTTGGGCTCCTCCCGGACCGTTTCTGAGCCTTTTTATGCCTCTGCCGGACCATTTCCGAGCTTTTTTGTGCCCCCCTCATTGAACCGAAGATTTTATAAGCCGTCTTTGAACCGAGGATACGTGTGACCGTCCACCACCTGAACCGAGGATGGTATGAACCGTCGCCGGCGAGGATTTTGTGTGACTGGGACCTTTTGTCTAAACCATTTCTGGGCTTCTCTCGGACCATTTCGGGCTTCTTCCGGACCATTTCTGAGCTTTTTCGGGCGCCCCCACCACCTGAACCGAGGATTTTATACCGTCACCGGCCCTTTGAACCAGGATTTGACTGGGGCCCTTCGTCTAAAGTCATCTTCACAACCCGAACCGAGCATATTATAAATCGTCAACGACTTTTGAACCGAGGATTTTACGTGTGACTGGGGCCGTCGACGGCTTTTGAACCGAGGATATTAGGTGTGAAGGCTATATTATAATACGGAAAGCGATAGCCCAACAACTATATGAAAACCCTAAACCCGCCCAAGGTTGAGATGTGGGTGGGTGGGTTGGGAGAGAGCGTTGAACCTGGGAGCACACCACAACACACGTCCCGCGTGGTGGTGTGCGCGGAACATTGAACAAACCCTAAACCCTAAACCCTAAAGCCTAAACCCTAAACGGCCCTGAGCCCTAAACCCTAAACCCTAAACCCCAAACCCTAAACCCTAGCAGAACCCCAAAGCTCCAAACCCTAAGCTAAGGTTTGGCTGCTGATACCCTCAAGCAGGGGCCTCGCCGTCCTCCCAGCGAGTCTTCCCAGACCGCTCGCGACGCCATTGCGCTCACCACCACCTCTTGGAGGTTCATGGTACTTATTAACCAATGATAGCTGTACAAAACCCCTAAAACCCTAAAACCCTAAAACCCTAAAACCCTAAAACCCTAAAGCCCTGAAGCCTGAAACCCTAAACCCTAAAACCCTAAACCCTAGAACCCTAAACCCGAAACCCGTAAAACCGTAAAACCCTAAACCCTGAAACCGTAAACCCTAAAACCCGTAAAACCGCAAAAACCTAAACCCTGAAACCACAAAACCCGAAAACCCGAAAACCCTAAAACCCTAAAACCCTAAACCCTAAACCCTAAACCCTAACCCAAGGGTCGATGGTTTGGTTAGGAAGCCATTGGCTGCCTCCACCCAAGTATCAGCGGGCCCCTTGGGGCGTGTGTGCACGGGGTATACGGTCAACAAGGGCCGCTAGTCAGTGTAGGGTTTAGGGTTTAGGGTTTAGGGTTTAGGGTTTAGGGTTTAGAGTTTAGGGTTTAGGGTGGAGGGTTGAGGGTTGAGGGTTTGGGGTTTCGGGTTTAGGGTTGAATGGGTCTCGGGCAGATTTGTTTAACATGTAGTACATGGGGATGAGCAGGAGGCGGGTAGTGACTAGTGGCTGCTATTCGGGCTCCAGCTTGTCACGAGTTTACCAAAAGGAACCCAAGGCCCAAACCAAACCTCAACCCTAGAACTTGAAGCCTAAACCCCAAACCCTAAACCTTAAACCCTGAACCCCAAACCCTAAACCTTTAACCCTATAGACCCAAAACCTGAAACCCGAAGGGCATCCTCAACCGTACACTCTAAACACCCAACAAATAACACCATACTGAACTTGGAACCCTAGCAAAAAATATGTTAGCTGCTTTTTTGGGAATTAGAGTACCGCAAAAAACCAACGTTATTTCCAAGTATCCCTAAACCCTGAACCCTAAACCCTAAACCCTAAACCCTAAACCCTACACTCTAAGCATCCCAAAAACCTCCTCTTAGGGAGGGAGGTCGCGGCCAAGCCACGTTGCGGAAGCCCGGCAACTTGGCAGAGGGCACCCACATCTGCCAAGGACGAGGATTTGGAGTTTAGGGTTTAGGGTTTAGGGTTTAGGATTTAGGGTTTAGGGTTTTAGGGTTTTAGGTTTAGGGTTTTAGGGCTCAGGGTTTAGGGTTTAGGGGCGTCGATGGTTTGCTTTGAGGCTCTCTTGGGCCTTGCTGAACCCACAGCCCTAAACTAAACCCTAAACCCTAAACCCTAAACCCTAAACCCTAAAACCCTCAAACCCTCAAACCCTCAAACCCTTACACCCGACACCATACACTCTAAACCCTTCCCCTAAATCCTAAGCCCTAGAGAATTTTGGGGTTTGGGCGGTTCAGGATGTAGAGTTTTTGTTGGGATCTCAAGCCCTAAACCCTAAACCCGAAACCCTAGAGATTGTTGAGATAGTATAACGGCCGGCGGCCTCTTAATCTGTTACCGTTACAGTATACCTTAACATAGCCCCCTAGATACCCTAATCCCTAAACCCTAAACCCTAAACCCTAAACCCTAATAAGAACCCTCTACCTACTTACAGAGAGACCACCAACCAACCTAGCTAAACCCCAAACCCTAAACCCTAGCGCCCAAAACCCTCAACTCTCCAGTCCTAAACCCTAAACCCTAAACCCTAAACCCTAAACCCTAAACCCTAAACCCTAAACCCTAAACCCTAAACCCTAAACCCTAAACCCTAAACCCTAAACCCTAAACCCTAAACCCTAAACCCTACTCCACCCACTAACGGCGGGCACTCGTGACTTTCTCGCTCTGCAGCTTTGCCTCGCGCAAGAACCGGCGGGCTGCGCCAGGTCATGGTTTCGGTGTGTAGGGTTCAGGGTTTAGGGTTTAGGGGTGATAGGGGGTTTAGGGTTTAGGGTTTAGGGTTTAGGGTTTAGGGTTTAGGGTTTAGGGTTTAGGGTTTAGGGTTTCTAGCGTGTTGGTGTTTGGGCGTGTAAAGTTCAGGGTTTAGGGTTTTTATGGTTTAGGGGTTAAGGTTTGTAGGGCTTAGGGTGTATATGGCTTAGTACTACCTGCGGGGGTATGATTATGAACCAGAAGGCAGGCATTGGGTGCGTAATGTTTGGGACTTTTGCATTTTGGCGTCAAGGGCGTTCGACGAAGTGCAGAGGGGCTGGCTTGCTAGATGCGAGGGTTATTTCGAGAATGGGGGCGCCCCTTTATGTGCACTATTTGATCATCTTATGGTTCACTTAAGAGCCCCTTTAAAGGGACCCCCAGAGGGGAAGCATGGGATTCTCCCTTCGGGAGCTCAGCACGTCATGGGAATGTCCCACCAGAAGATGCTAGATATCCGGATACAAGGCGCGTGTGTGAAGCCACGCAGGAACCCTGGGCCAAGCACGACACACAACAAGTTCTCGGCAATCAGGGAGAGAATGCCTGCGACTCCACATTGAACGACCAAGGGCAGCTCTCTCAAACCGTGCAGTGCCGGCGCGGGCACAACACTCCTCTTCTGCCCTAGCCAACTACGCAGAAGGGCCCATGATGTCCGAGGCTGGCCCCCAAGAGAGACACATTTCTGAATTACCTCCGCCTCCGCCTCGCTGTGGGGCGCAATTGAGGAAAGCTTAACAAGTGCAGAACCTGCATCAAGCTCGCGCAGACGCCAAATATCTGGGTCCGGTGCCTTCGAGCCTGGCCTGTACTCGACAGCGAGCAACCAACAAGGATTGTTGCTGCACGACTCCTCTGACTCCCGCACCCGCAAAATCTCGTGCGGAATAGGAGACTCGGGCAGTAGCTCCCAACTAATAATCACGTCTTCAAGCACCTCCATCAAGATAAGTCCCAAGATGCACCAGCTGGCAGACAAATTAAAGGAAGGTGGGTTTTCAAGCGACATGACTCCATACATCAATGCGCGTGCCACCACTATGGCAAGGACTGGCAGAAAGCGAAAATAGCCAACATAGAACTTGATTTCGTCGTGCAGCTTGTTGAATGCACCGGGTGTGCTGAGCCTCAAGGCTGACAGCTCACCTACAGTCCGTTTCAGTGTGTGAAACAGGATCCAGCGCGTCCAACCCAAGCGGGCAAGGACATTTGCCAGCAACGTCAGCAGTAGAGTTTGGATCCATAGAAAGCTTCCGGTGGTTACTGCCCCTGCAAAAATGGACACCAAGCGCGCGGCTTCACAAACTCCATGAGGCGTCAGAACTAGAACCGTGGCGGGAAGAAGCAGCTGGTCACCAGCGGTGGTAGCATCGCCTCCCTTCGACAGAGGCCACACTGTGCGGGAGTAGAGGAGCGAAACACAAGCGACAGACGCAGCTTCGCTAAGTGCCGTCACCAGCGGGAGTAGGATGTTTGCTGCGACACTCCAGCCACTGGCCAGCAGCTCGGTGTAGGCAAGGCAGGTTGCGGTAACGATGGTCAGGCAGCCCCATGTGATAGCCAATAGCCCAAGACCCCACTTGAGATGCGGCCCTACCCATCGCGACCGTTGCCTGCGGAGGCAGAGTTGTGCGATGGGGGCCCACAGCGATGAGACTGCATAGATGGTTCCCAGCTGAAATTCCGCCAAGGGCAGGCCGCAAGCTATGGGCACAGCCATGGCAACGAGTCCACAGATCCCAGCAAAAGAACATGCAGCAAGCGAAACGTCTTCCCCGCACAATGCCACCGAGTAAATGAAGCACATTGCTTGTTGCATAACTGTCAGGTTACCCACCGTGGCGACACTGGCCCACCTCCACCAGAGAATCTGGGTTGGTTCTGCCGCCCTCTCAATATGAATGGACAGCGCCCATCTTGTGACTGACAGCAGGAACAGCAATGCCAAACTCGGACAGATGAAACGCGGAGACCAGGTGCCAAATGCCTTCATTTGCTCATCTTCGACCCTCACAGGCAGCGTCTCCGCTTGAGTCATGTCTGGATTCAGCACCACCTCCCCTGACATCTCGACAAGGACGCGACCTTGGCTGTCATGGACACGGAGGTGCCTCAGCTCCGACCCACTCTGCCAAATCTCCAAAGTATGATCTGCCTGGAGCTCGATGGCATCAGGGCCCGCTTTGGTCCACCAGCGCCTTGGCTTCGCACCCAGGCGACGGCCGAAGGCAGATATGCCCAAATCAGCGGAGGGCGGCTGCCAAAGGAACAAGGGCGCCTGGGGTCGTACGGCACAATGGCTATGTCTTGTTGCTGCTTTCCGGGATTATTGCAGGGATCTGCATTGGGATTGTGGGGCAGGTAAGGAAAAAAGTGCCTGGCAGTCGAAGGCCATGCGCTTGACTCGGATATCGTGCTTTGACTTGGTCTGGATGTGCATCAGCCGCCCACCCTCTCTCAGCCTGGCCACGCCACCGCGATGTGTCGAAATGGGCCAAAACTCCGGGCTTTGAAAACTCTTTAAGGTTTCTAACGGCTACTACGAGGGATGTGGGTGTCGGAAGGTCAAACCCCAAACCCCAGACCCCAAACCCCAAACCCCAAACCCCAAACGCGAAACCCTAAACCCTAAACCCTAAACCCTAAACCCTAAACCCTAAACCCTAAACCTCTTTTATTCAGCCTCCTTTCGGCAAGGCATCTTTCGGCACCGTCGCCTGGACCCACCTGAGCGCTTCTTGCGATGCCCCGGAAAGAGGCCAGTGTCGTTTAGGGTTTAGGGTTTAGGGTTTAGGGTTAGCAAATGAAACAACATGAAACAACTAATGCTGTTTCCAAATGCCATCCTGCCGCAATGACGAGGCAGTGATCCTTGTACCACTGGTCATCCATCGCTGAGGCCCCAACCCTAAACCCTAAACCCTAAACCCTACACCCTACACCCTAAACCCTAAACCCTAAACCCTACATGATTTACATGCACCTCGGAAACCGCAAGACCCTAAGCCCCCAGGAAAAGCTTCACTGGAGGTTGGGAATTGAAAAAGCGCGGTGGTTTCGGTGCCGGGGCGCTACCGGCTCTACCGCTCTACGCGGCTCGGAGCAGCGACGGATTTTGGTTTAGGGTTGAGGGTTGGTTTAGGATTTAGGGTTTAGGGTTTAGGGTTTTAGGGTTTAGGGTTTAGGGTTAGGGTTTAGGGTTTAGGGTTTAGGGTTTAGGGTTTAGGGTTTAGGGTTTAGGGTTTAGGGAATCTGCAATGCAGGGCCCTTAGCATGCGAGCTCCAAGCCGAGCTGTGCCCCGCTGCTTTTACCCCTCTTTTCGCACCTTCTCTAACCCTAAACCCTACACCCTACACCCTAAACGCCCTAAACGCCCTAAACCCTAAACCCTAAACCCTAAACCCTAAACCCTAACAGAACACCTTTCGCCAACAGACGGCTGGGGGTTCCGTCCAGGGGCTCAGCCTCGCACTGAAGCCGATGCCTGACAGTTCACATTGGGGTTCAAACCCTAAACCCTAAACCCTAAACCCTAAACCCCAACACCCTAGAGATTGTTGAGGAATAGTCACCACAAGGGCCTTGGCCAAGTGCTCCTCCTGGCGAGCGTACTCGTTCCTGGACCCAAGCTTCTCAAGGGGTTTCGGGTTTAGGGTTTAGGGTTTAGGGTTTAGGGTTTGGGGTTTAGGGTTTAGGGTTTGGGTTTAGGGTTTGGGGTTTAGGGTTTGGGGTTTTGGGGATTTAGGGTTTAGGGCTCAGAGACGTTCAGAGCTCGTCTTCTGGGGAAAAACCAAAACCCACCAAAGCCACGCCCTGTAGGGGTTAGGGGGGGGGGGGGTTAGGGTTAAGGGTTCAGGGACAAGGGTTAAGGGATTCATTCTTGCTACCAGCATGAATCCCCCGCAACCCCTAGTGTTCTACAATGTCAAACGTGATGCTGGTGTTGGGAGATATCATGTTGACTCGCAACTTTACAAAACCCCAAACCCCAACCCCTAAACCCTAAACCCTGAACCAAAGTGGCACAAAGCCGATCCTACGCATGAAGACAACAACGGTTCAAGGCGCTGCTTTGGGTAGGCTTCAGGGCCTAGAATCCCAACCCTCAATCCTGAACCCTAACACGGTTTAGGGTTTAGAGTTTAGCAGTGGCCAAGGAGCATCGGGTCTGCGGCCAAGGACGGCCCGAAGAAGAGACCCGTGCCTGCGAAGTGCTGAAGAGCTTCTCAAGGGCTTGGGTTTAGGGTTTAGGATTAAGGGTTAAGGGTTGAGGGTGGTCTGTACGACAAGAAGCATCACAAGCAGACCTGCTTTTGGTAGGGAATCTGGGCATTAGGACTTTGGGGGGCTTGTACGAGCTTAACCTGCCGAATGAACAAAACCATCTTACCCCTAACCCTAAAACCTAAACCGTCCACTAAGGTGTCTACTAGCTCCCTATATCAACCCTCATGTCTTAGATTAGACCCCCAAAGCCCCCAAAAGCCCTAAACCTTTAAAGCACTAAACCCTAAACCCCAAACCCCACACCCTAAACCTTTAAAACACTAAAACCCCAAACCCCCCCCCCCCCCCCCCACGACTAAGGCTGTCCCCGGGTCTTCAAAACCCCTCGACAGGGTTTAGGGTTTAGGGTTTAGGGCTTAGGATTTAGGGTTTAGGATCGTCCTTAATAAGAACTGGTTTGGGGTTTAGGGTTTAGGGGAATATTCCTTACTGAAGAAATGTTAGAAGATCTGGGCATCCCCCCACCCACTCTGCGAGCACAGGTACCTCAAAGACAATGGTAATTTAGGATGCTATGTGGAACCCCAAACCACTAACCCTAAGGTTAACCCTGAGCCTGGAACCCTTCAAACTCCATACCCCAAACCCTACTAAGCCCCAAGCCCTACGAAGCCAAGCCCTACTGAGCCCTACCAAGCCCTAACGAGGCCTACCGAGCCAGCCCTGCTCCCTTAGCCCTGAGCCCTAAGCCCTAAACCCTAAACCCTAACCCCTGACCCCTAAACCCTAAACCCTAAACCCTAACCCCTAAACCCTAAACCCTAAGCCCTAACCGGCAATAACCTGAGGAGCTCCACTCGCCCCTCATGCTTGCAGTCCGCGGCGCTGTACAGCCCACCGCCCACCAAAAGCCTGCAAACAGACACGTTTTACCCTAAACCCTAAACCCCAAACCCGAAACCCTAAACCCTAAACCCTAAACCACCCTAAACCCCTTAAACCCTATACCCTAACCCCCGGACGCTAAAGCCTAAACCGCAAAAAGCCCCAACCCAGAAACTCCCACATCCCTCAAGTAGGGGATCTTAGGGTCTAGGGTTTTAGGGGTGTAGGTTTAGGGTTTAGGTGGTTTGGGGCTTAGGGTTCAGGTGCTTCGGTGTGTTCAGCGTTTTGGAATCTGAGGAAGAGCTATATTCACACCCTAAACCCTAAACCCTAAACCCTAAACCCTTAAACTTCCTGGGAATGCACGCTCAGGTTGTGGGGCTTCGGGTTTAGGGTTTAGGGTTTAGGGTTTAGGGTGGTTGAGGGGCTTGACAGCCGGGATTATGAGTTGCTTTCAGGGGTTCGGGCTCAGGGCTTTTGGGCTGAGGGCACGGGGCTTATCGGCCCTAAACCCTAAACCCTAAACCCTAAACCCTAAACCCTAAACCCTAAACCCTAAACCCTAAACCCTAAACCCTAAACCCTAAACCCTAAACCCAATCCCGAAACCCCCCACAGCCCTCCGCAGAAGTCCTGGGATGGACCGGCTCGTGAAGGCCGACCTCCATGGGGTATTTGTTGCTTAGGGTTTAGGGTTTAGGGTTTAGGGTTTAGGGTTTAGGGTTTAGGGTGTTTTTTTTTTTTTTTCTGTCGGGGGTTGGGGGGTTTCAAGGTTCAGGGGTTAGGGGTTAAGTTAAAGTGCTTCAGGTGATCCCGTTGTAGTGTTTTGGTTTAGGGGCTTAGGGCTTAGTCCTGAATCGCCGCGGTGAAACTGGGAAAGCAAAGGAGTCGTGATGGACCTCAAACACGTCACCCTAAACCCTAAACCCTAAACCCTAAACCCTAAACCCTAAACGTAATCCGCATTGCTTCAGTCCTTTGGGATCCTGAAATCCGGCGTGCATCTTTGCAGCTGCAATGTGCCAGCCTCCTGACCGTCAGTGACCGAACTCAAGCCTAAACCCTAAACCCTAAACCCTAAACCCTAAACCCTAAACCCTAAACCCTACACCCTACACCCTAAACCCTAAACCGCAGCAGGCCATGCTGTGGCCATTGCGATCTGGACTGCGGCTAGGCCAGCATGTCTGGGTCGGGACCGTGCCCCGGACCCACCCCCCGCCTTACCTTTAGGGGTTAGGGTTTAGGGTTTAGGGTTTAGGGTTTAGGGTTTAGGGTATCATGTCGTGAGTTGCTGGTTCCGTGGCCACTAGCACCAGCTTGCTCAAGCCCGTGGCCGATGTCCCACTTGGAAGCAAACCGCAAATAAACCCTAAACCTAAACCCCAAACCCGACCACCGGACTACCATCTGATGCCCCTAAGGTCGGAGATTGTCGAAGACTATAGAGGGTTGCAGCGTTTAGGGCTTAGAGGCTTCTATGACTTCTTGGTAGTCCCGGGAAATAAAGCAAGTACCTTCAAAGACAAGCTCTGCAAGAAAGCATCCTCGAGCCCTGCTGGGCCCTGCACCCTAGACCCCAAACGCTGAATAAATCGGATAACCCATTAGGGTTTAGGGCTTAGGGTTTAGAGTGTAGGGTTTAGGGTTTAGGGTTTGGGCTTAAGGTTTAGGGTGTAGGGTTTAGGGTTTAGGGTTTAGAGGGTAGAGGGTTTAGGGGTTAAGCAAAGGATCCAACCTCGCACCAGTAATGTCAGCAATGTCGTAGCCCCAACAAGGGCCCCCTTAAGCATGTGTACTCTTCAGGTGGTCTATATACTGCAGCTGCTCTCGATACCTAAACCCTAAACCCTAAACCCTAAACCCTAAACTCCGAAACCCATAACCCCACACCCAAAACCCCAAAACCCTACCCCCCAACAAGGATCCCCCAAACCAAGGGCTCAGCCTTTGGTGTCCAAGAAGGCAGAGTCAGATCAAAAAACGACCCGCGCAAAACCCATAACCCCATGATCCATACCCCGAAACCCATGCCACAACCAGTCGTTGAAGGTTCATGGGTAGTTGTAAGTCGGGTTACAAGTACCTTAAAATAGTTTAGGGTTTAGGGTTTAGATTGCCTTGCTCATGTCGCAGCTTAGAACTAGCCATGAGCCTTCCAGTATCCCAAAACTTACAGACCCAGACCATTCAATAAGCCCTCGAACCCAACCCAAACAAGTAAGTATCTCCCTAAACCCTAAACCCTAGACCCTGAATCCTGAATCCTGAACACGAAATCCTAAGCCCTAAACCCTAAACCCCAAACCCCAACCCCTAAACCCTCAACCCTAAACTCTAAAATCCTACAAACAACCTCCAGGTGCCTGGAACACGTTGTACGGCATGATTCCTTCCATTGGCACCTCACTAGGCTTCCCCGAAGTTTAGACCTTGTCGTAAACCTTATTTTCAGAAACGCCCATACAGGACTCCCTATGAACAAATAAGGAAGACTGCTCAGCTAAGGCGCATTTTGGCGTCTCTGGCTTTAGGGTTGAGCCTAAGCCCTAAAAACCCCAAACCAACTCCACGAAAGCAGCATGCCTTCAAAGGGATTGTAGGGAACATCCTTGCAAAGACCGCAGGGCGCCGCAGCCCTGAGCCCAAAACACCCGCTTTTCTATTACCCGGGCAGCAGGGTTTAGGGTTTAGGGTTTAGGGTTTAGGGTTTGGGGTTTGGGGTTTAGGGTTTTGGGGGGGTTTGGGGTTTGGGGTCTGGGGTCTGGGGTTTGGGGTTTGGCCAAGATACTGTCTCGTTCACTGTGAAGCGCCGGCACTGGAAGTCCTCGAGGCGTTAAGTTAGGGTTTAAGGTTTAGGTTTTAGGTTTTGGGGTTTCAGGTTTAGGGTTCAGGGTTTAGGGTTTAGGGTATGGCTCAGAGTGTCTCTTTTACAGTGTATAGGCTTTCAGGTATAGGGTTCGGGTCCCAGGTTTGGGGTGCATACTCGGGAGATCGGAGACCTTCAGGCTAGGTACAGAAACGAGCTACAAATGCCCAGGGTTTAGGGTTTAGGGTTTAGGGTTTAGGGTTTAGGGTTTAGGGTTTAGGGTTTAGGGTTTAAGGGAACTGTGGTCGAGGGTCTTGGGCCTGTAGGGCTTCAGGCAACTGCAGGCTCTACACACACAAAATGCCACTGCCAAACTTTCTTCTGCTCTAGCCAAGGGAGAGCCCTACTTGGAGGTACAGGATACTTATAATCCCCAAATGTAACTGTACTGATAAGCCCCCTAAGTCCTCTCTAAGTAGGCTATACTGTAAGTCGACTTAGAATTGGGGCTATACGTACCCATGAACCTCCAAGTACACCCTAAGCCTTAACACCTAAACCCTAAACTCTAAAACCTAAAACCTAAAACCTGAACCCTAAACCCTAAATCCTAAACTTCAGGGTGCTGGGCTTAAGGCTTCCCATCCCCCCACGCCTCGCTAAGATTGTAGAGCGGAAAGTCGGACAACGTCAGGTTCTTCTCGTTGTACTCCTGGCTGAAGGGACCCTCAACCCTAAACCCTAAACCTTCGAGACCTCAGCCTCGAAAGGCCTCAAGCCCGAACCCAAGACCCTCATGCAAGATTTAGGTTTGGGGTTTAGGGCTCTGAACCCCAAGATCCCTTGCAAAACAGCACAAGAAAATTCATCAAAGCCTAGTGCCGGAGGCCTGAACGTCTCTTTCGTCTTGTGGGGTTGAGGGTTTGGGGCACTGTGCTGTTATGTACCCTAAGCCCTAAACCCCCGAACCCCAAACTGCAACGCTCAAGTAGTTGCCCTTGGTGGTGAAAGCTCTACAGTCTTGGGGTAGTTTCATGGGCCCTCAGTATGGTCCCTTACCTTTTTTACAGGGTTCTGCAGTGTGGGGCCCCTGGGTCTAGTAGGGTACACAAGGTGTAAACAAATGAGTGCCCCTTGTGACCATGTAACTCCCCTAAGATACAGGCGTCATGGGTCCAACTGTACCCTTACAACAAAGGGGTCCCCACTGTCACGGGCGATTTCCCGCATTCTAAGGCTGGGGACACGTGCACCTGCACCTCAAACCCGATTTCAACCCGAACCAAGAACCCCAAACCCCACCTTCATGTCGAAGATGGCGGAACCCCTAAATTAACTTAGTTACATCCCTGACAGAAGCTCGGCTTAGAGCTACCTCTCGGCCATCTGGCAGCATGTAGCTGAGACGAGCCGTTACCTCCGGCGCAGGGGCTTGGGGTTTGAGGGTTCTTCTTGGGCCTCCAGCCTGGGTAGGGTTGAGGGTTAAAGGGTTAAAGGTTGAGGGTTAAGGGTTGAGGGTCTAGGGTTTAGGGTTTAGGGTTTACCCCAGGAAGAAGTTAGCTGAGGGACTGCAGCGCCAGAAGCCTGAACCGCACTACCAAGCATCTTACAACCTCAGAAGGGCAACCCTGAACCCCCAGACCTCAAACTAAAACCCTAATTCCGCATAAGCCAAAAACCTCAAACCCTAGACCCTAAACCCTAAAGACCCTAAACCTCGAAACCCTATATCCCAAACTCGAAACCTCTCAACCTTGAAACTCTAATTCCCAATTCCAAACTCTAACCCCGCCCACCCACCCACCCCCCATTCCCTACTAACCCTAAACCCTAAACCCTAAACCCTAAACCCTAAACCCTAAACCCTAGCCCTAAACCCTAAACCCGAACGCTCCCCCTCTTCACTGGCAAGTCGCAATGAGATGGTCCAGGAGTGAGTAGTTCAAGGCAAGGCTGAGGGCTCGCCTCAATCATTGTCTAAGGGTAGGGTTTAGGGTTTAGGGTTTAGGGTTTAGGGTTTAGGGTTTAGGGTTTAGGGTTTAGGGTTTAGGGTTTAGGGTTTAGGGTTTAGGGTTTAGGGTTTAGGGTTTGGGGTTTGGGGTTTGGGGTTTGGAGTTTGGGGCTTGCGGTTTAGGGTTTAGGGTTTAGGGTTTAGGGCTAAGTTGCACGGTCCCGTAATATGGTCCCTTACATTCTTTCAAGGGTTCTGACGTATGGGCCCCTAGGTTTACAGGGTATATAAGGGGCTAAGGGGCGTCCTTTCAAGGGCATACTAAGGGACCATGCAACTAACCCATAGACATTGGGAGGTTGGGGGTTTAGGTTTTCGGCTTTTAAGGGTTTTGGGCTTTAAATTGTATTAGAGTTTGGAGCTTTAAGGGTTTTCGGGCTTTAACCCAAACCACTAAACCCCTTAACATTTGAACTCCAAAACCTTGAATCCCTCCACCCTTGAAAACCGCCTTGAAACCCCTTTCGAACGCCCGCACAACAAAACAAAACGTTTTAAAACCCGATGTAATGCCCCTCTTAACAACCCTAAACGCCCTAAACGCCAAACCCTGAGGTCCCCAAGTCGCAGCCCTAAACCCTCAACCCTCACCCCTCACCCCTCACCCCTCGACCCTCAACCCTACACCCTAAACCCCAAACCCCAAACCCTAAACCCGCCAAATCCTGAGGTCCCAAGTCGCAGCTCACAGAGCCGCATCCACACCGGAGGCAGCTGCATCTCTTGGTCAAAGATGGCCTGCGGGCGGTTTAGGGTTTAGGGTTTAGGGTTTAGGGTTTAGGGTTTAGGGTTTAGGGATTAGGGATTAGGGTTTAGGGTTTAGGGTTTAGGGTTTAGGGCGAAGGGTTTGGGGTTTGGGGGTTAGGGGTTTCGGGTTTACCTGGGCTTTCTTTACCTACATTTTAATGGGTTATACCTACTATTCAAGGGGTAGTTCCTACTAACCTGTAGTAGGTACATAGGGACCCAGGTAGGGTTTAGATGGGTATAGGGTTGATAGGGTTTAGGGTTAGGGTTTTGGGCTTAGGGTTTGGGGGTTTAGGGAAAGACTGAGGAATAACAAGGCTTTGCGCCTATGGCCCTTCCGTGGACTGTCTTGGAAACCTCTGCGGGAGGGGGCTATAAGAGCCCCTAGCTATAGTTTAGGGTTTACGGTTTATAGGGCTTAGGGTTCAGGGCGTAGGGTTTGAGACATTTTGCAACGGAGGGACGAATGGCTTCGGGTTTGGGACTCTTTGGCGGAAAGGGCGCTGAGCGGATTGAGCTACGTCCAGGAGCCTTGGTAGGAGAGCCCTGCCAACCAGATCGGGTTTCAACTTTGTGTCTTCGGTGACTTCGGTGAGGGGGGGGGAAACCCCGAAACCCTGAACCCTAAACCCGAAATCCTAAACCCTAAACCCTAAACCCTAAACCCTAAACCCTAAACCCTAAACCCTAAACCCTAAACCCTAAACCCTAAACCCTAATTCAACGCCTCTACAGCAAGAAGAGGGCCCCTCCTCGTCTTCAGGGGTTGCGAGCCGGTTCATGTAAGTCCAGGTGGCGGAAGTGACCTCAGACACGAATCGGCTGAGTTTAGGGTTTAGGGTTTAGGGTTTAGGGTTAAGGGTTAAGGGTTAAGGGTTAAGGGTTTAGGGTTTAGGGTTTAGGGTTTAGGGTTTAGGGTTTAGGGCTCTTGAGGGGGGGGGGTTCAAGGGGGGTACGTAACCCAAGCTTCCCTAATGCTCCCCACTACTCCCGCAGGCTCCCTAAGCTTCCCTAAGGTTCCCTCTAGGTACCTTACCCCCATGAACCCCTCCCTCAAGGACCCGAAAAGCTTTGTCGGGAGAATAAGGGTTTGAGAGGGTTTGTGCAGGGTTTAGGGATGAAAGAAAGTCAGAAGAAGTTCAAAGTGGCCTACTCAGCACCTAGGGGATTTGAGGTGTTTAGGGTTTAGGGTTTAGGGTGTAGGGTTTATGTAGGGTTTAGGGTGGCCTATAAAACCAGGGTTGAAGAGGGTATGTTGATTGATGTCTGAATTGGAGCCTCAGGCTACAGACCCCAAACCACAAATAAGGATTTTATTGAGATTATCACAGGGGGTACTGTAAGGACTCTTAGTATAAGGGGGAATATCCCAGCCCTAAGCTAGGATAGCCCGGCGGCGTAGCCCACAAACGCCAAGGCCAGCAACAGCCAAACAAAGCGCGCGCAGCGGGCGTCGTTCCTTGGTAGCCGAAGAGGGAAGCTCTTGAGGGAGGTTTACGGTTTAAGGGCTTAAAACCTATGTGTTAACCTTATTGTGTGATACCCTATAACCCTACGTATCGCTGCTCATGAACCTTCAAGTAAACCAAATACACTGCGCCCCATAAGCGCTCGACCCTGAATACCCTCAACCCCAAACCCGCAACCCAGATCTTCCCCTTACCGGATATTCCCTAACCTGTAAATAGTCGGATCCTTAATGTCGGATCCTCAATAAGAAACTTACTGGAGAATGCCTACAATTTGGGGCTCTAGATTCGAGGCCCCCAATTTCGTAACTTCCCATATTCCTCAAATTTTTAAAGATCTTTGAAGGTTTGGGAACAAGTGGGGAACCAGGTCCCAAGATTTAAGTCATGTTTAGGCATTGAGCTTTCGCGTGTAGGGTTGCGGCACTCATGAAACCTCAGCCTCAATTACACGCTAAGCCGGCGGAGGTTTTCTTTTCCTTGCAAAAACCCTAAACCCTAAACCCTAAAAAGGTGTGGCTCGGCCATGTTTCCTTGCAAAAGTGTGGCTCGGCCCGGGTTCTTGGTTCGGCTGCGAATACTGTAAATTGCAGCAGTTCTGCGCTGCAAAGAACAGCATGTGTGCGTTGCAAGGGCCTGCAAATACTGTAAACAGGCGGCATTTCTGCGTTGTCAGAGGCTGCAAATGCTGTCAATGGCAGCATGTGTGCGTGTCCAGAAGTCGCAAATACTGACTAGCAGCATTTCAGTTTGCAGAGGCAGCACATACTGTAAACAGCAGCATTTCTTCGTTTTTCAGAGGCTGCAAATATGGTAAATAGCAACGTTTCTGAGTTTGGAGAGGCTGCACCTACTGGCATTTGAGGGCTTGATCTCGGCAAGCACAGGCGGCATTTCTGAGTTTGCAAAGGCTGCAATTTCTGTAGATAGCAGGAGCTGCGCGTTGCCAGAGCCTGCACCCCATACACCCTAAACCCTAAACCCTGAACCCTGAACCCTGAACCCTGAGCACCAGCGCAGGCGTGGGGCGGGTTGGCAAAGTCATCCCAGTTCGGAGGAAGCATGGCCCGCATGGCGGCAAAGCGCGGCTAGCTAGCTATGCTAGCTAAGCTCTCACGGCCGGCAACTTGCCCTAAGAGTCCGTATGTCACATGTAGTAGTGGTGGTAGTGGTGGTGGTGGTGGTAGTAGTGGTGGTGGTGGTAGTAGTAGTAGCAGTAGCAGTAGTAGCAGTAGTAGCAGTAGTAGCAGTAGTAGCAGTAGTAGCAGTAGTAGCAGTAGTAGTAGTAGTAGTAGTAGTAGTAGTAGTAGTAGTAGTAGTAGTAGTAGTAGTAGTAGTAGTAGTAGTAGTAGTAGTAGTAGTGGTGTTGTGGTGGTGGTGTCTGGTTCTCTACCTGTTAGACCTTAAATTCTAAACTGGTTGAAGGCTGCGGCCAAGAGCTAGCTGCTAGCTTAGCTCACCATGGAAATGTCCAGGGGAGAAGGGCTGTAGGCAGACAGAAAAGAAACCCAGTCGACTCACCCGTCGGCACCCAAAAGCCCGATGAAGTCGTGGTTGCGCCCAAACCCTGAACCCTTATGTTATTTTATGGTTACTATTATTATTATTATGCCAGGAATCCCTGCGATTATCTTGGACCTCACTTATCTTCGCTTCCCTTTGCAGCTTTACGCTGCATTACAGGGGCGTGAGCCTCTGCATTTGTATGGTTTTGGGCTGTAACAAAGAAGGGTAAACCCTAAACCCTTAAACCCTAAACCCAAAATCCTAAACTAAACTGGAAACCCCAACCCCCAAACCCTATCCCGATGATGCCCGACGGGTAAGACCCTGAACCCTAGACTCCTAAACCCCGGATTAAGGACTACTTCAAAAGGTAGTTCCCAGGTGGGGCGCTGGACCTTATGGAAGGCTTCCAGAATCTAGCAGGTGCATATAAGGGTAGCTTCTAAAAAACATTTTTTAAGCCCAAAGTGTCCAACTGTAAACACTAAGGACGGAAGCCCAAAACCCTAAACCTAAATCCGTCACCCTTAACCCTAAACCCTAAACCCTAAACCCTAAACCCTAAACCCTACGCTGGGCAAACCCCTTATCTTGGGGTCCTGTGGGCCTTCTCCCCTTGGACAGCGGGCCTAGAACGTAGTGTAAGGCAGTGCCCTACTGAGAGCCGAAAACAGTTGGATCAACCTTTTGGTGTAGGGTTTGGTGGGTTTGGGGGTTTGGGGAGTTAGGGGGTTTAGGGTTTAAAGGTTCGGGGAGTCGGTTTTGGGTTCAGGGTTTGGGGGTTTGGGGAGTTTGGGCTTGGGGGTTTGGGGTTTAGGGTTTAAGGGTTCGGGGTTTCGGTTTTGGGTGTTTGGGGAGTTTGGGCTTGGGGGTTTAGGGTTTAAGGGTTCGGGGTTTCGGTTTTCGGTTTTGGGTTCAGGGTTTGGGCTTGGGGGTTTGGGGTTTAGGGTTTAAGGGTTCGGGGTTTCGGTTTTGGGTGCAGGGTTTGGGTGTTTGGGCACCCAGACCCGAACCGCAAACCCCATCCACCAAACCCCAAACCTTAAACTTGTTCTCCTGCGGGGTCGGCGGCTTGAGCCGGAGGCTCTTAAATCTCAGGTTGGGGGTTCAGGGTTTAGGGGTTCTGCGGCATGGTTTTTGGCAGGCGGTGTTTGGAGTGGGCTTGTTTTATGCGCCACCGAGATGTCACAACACATCCCCACGTGCTGGACCGATGAAACCCCAAAACCTCCAACTATCTCTAAATCACCTAACCCCTCAGCCCTTGACCGTAAACTTCTACACTCTAAACCCATTGGATGCCCCCCTCCCCCCTGCTCGCCTCCTTCCCCCCCTGAATCCGAGAATAAGGCAAACTGAAACCAGAAATCCTAGACTCCTAATTTGGGGCTTAGGGTTGAGGGTTTGCTGGGCCCACCCCATATTGTTCCTAAGTGGCCCCAGAACAAGCCCTTACATACCTGAACAGGGCCCTAACACCCTAAACCCTATACCCTATAAGCCCTTGTGTCCCTTAGTAAGGCTCCGCTGGCTTTAGTCCCTCAACAACCTAAACCCTAAACCCTAAACCCTAAACCCTAAACCCTAAACCCTAAACCCTAAACCCTAAACCCTAAACCCTGAACCCTTACTGCGCTCCGGAGCAAAAGCTTGGTTCGGGGTGAAGGGAGGGCTTTAAGGGGTTTAAGGGTTAGGGTCCGCCTTGCAGCAGCATGGAGCTCAAAGGGGCTCGGGTTTAGGGTTTAGGGTTTAGGGTTTAGGGTTTAGGGTTTAGGGTTTAGGGTTTAGGGTTTAGGGTTTAGGGTTTAGGGTTTAGGGTTTAGGGCTTCGGTCTAGGGTTGCATCGAGCTTGGCTTTCCTAACCTGGTCTTTGTCTCATGCGCTGGACGACTGCTCTGTCAGAAGCGGGTCCAGTTCGTCAGGAGTGCCTTAGCCGCAACCAACGCGCCACAAACCCTAAACCCTAAACCCTAAACCCTAAACCCTAAACCCTAAACCCTAAGCCCTAAACCCTAAACCCTAAACCCTAAACCCTAAACCCTAAACCCTAAACCCTAAAGGGCTGGGCCCAGCGACATAGAGGTTATAACCGGCAGATTCCCTGCTTGGGTTTCGGATACAGAGCTGCAATCCAAGCTCGTCACCCTGACGATGCCTTGCTTAACACCCTAAACGCTAAACCCTAAACCCTAAACCCTAAACCCTAAACCCTAAACCCTAAACCCTAAACCCTAAACCCTAAACCCTAAACCCTAAACCCTAAACCCTAAACCCTAAACCCTAAACCCTAAACCCTAAACCCTAAACCCTAACCTACATACACCCTAAACCCCTACAGGGCCTCGGGTTTTGTTCAATCCCAGGCGGCCCAAGCCCAGCGACGGCAGGTAGAAGTACAAGCGCAGCTTCTCGTGGCGAGTCGGGGGGAAAACCACCTCGGCTGTTTCGGGCTTCCAGTCCTAGGGTCTGTCTAGGGATTAGGGTTTAGGGTTTAAGGTTTAGGGTGTAGGGTGTAGGGCTTAGGGCTTAGGGTTTAGGGTTTAAGGTTTAGGCTTTAGGGTTTAAGGTTTAGACGATGTGAGTCTTTTGTGGCCTGCTTTGGAAGCCTTCGGGCACACGCCTTTAACAGCTCATCTAGACCTAAGCCCCCGAACCCTAAAGCCCTAAACCTCAAACCCGAAACCCCAAACCCTAAACCCTCAACCCTAAACCCTAAACCCTACACCCGAAACCCCAAGCTCTACCTAAAGCCTCAGAACTACCCGGTTTTTGGGTTTAGGGTTTCAAAGTGGGACTTCGCTCCTAGACCCAAAACCCCCAAACCCCAAACCCTAAACCTCAAACCGGGGTTCAGGTGTTAGGGTTGGTAGGGATTAGAACCCTAAACCCTAAACCCTGAACCCTAAACCCATTTGGCTCGGGTCTGAGGGCGTTTGGGCGGGGCAAGTGCGAAAGTTGGCAGTGCTTTCGGAGGGAGGCCAGTACCCCACAGAATCCGTTCAACGGTTGAAATGGGGGCGGCATATAATATAAGGCACCTCATTCTGAAGAATCAGAACGAAGGTTTAGGGCTTAGGTTTTCGGCTTGCTCAACCTAAACTTTAGGGTATAGGGTTTAGGTTTAGGGTTGAGGGTTTAGAGTTTAGGGTTTAGGGTTTAGGGCTAGGGTTTAGGGCTAAGCCACCTGCAGCAGGCCGAACAAGAAGGTGGCGGATGCGAGCCGGCCTAGCCAGCTAATGGCGTCGTTCCTGGGCGCATCTTTGCTCAGGGTTTAGGTTTTCGGGGTAGGGACTCTAAGAGTAGTTCTATGGGGGTTTACGAACATAGTGGACGCCTAAAATAGACCCCAAATAGTAGGATCCCCTTATAAACAGGACCCCAATAATGAGGTGCCCCTAATCTCGTGTGTACAAATAACAGTACTGGAAGACTGGGTTCGTTCTGCCCAGACCTGGGGGGATCCAAAAAACAGATCTAGGGATTAGTTAATTTAGTTAATTTGAATAATTTAATGATTTTGCTTGAATTCATTTAATTCATTTGAAGCAAATTTAAGTAATTCCCCAAACAGTCTACTGTTGGGGTTCTAAATTCATTTCAGGATTGCCGACGTTCTGAGGACTGTTGCCAGGTTTTTGGGTTTTTTGTCTCCCTTTGTCTCCCTTTGTGTCCCTTTGTCTCCCTTCATGTGGGTCTTCGGTGGTGTAGTTTTCATTAGTTTAATTCAACGGTACTATGTGGTGGATCCTCCCAAATGTCTGGGTAACGGTCGAAGTTTAGAGTTTAATTCCATAAAAACTGAAAGAGGGATGATGCTGGTATCTTTCCCGTATACACACCCTAAACCCGAAACCGTAGTCCCTAAACCCTAAGCCCTAAACCATCTGATCCTGAAGCAGCTTGTGTCACCCTTGTAGACCCAGGAGTAACCTAGGAATGAAAGGGGTGCCCTTTTTGGTCGAATGGGCCGTGTTTCGTTTTTTTGTTCGAAGGGGTTGAGGGCTTCGGGTTGACTTGTAGTTGTAAAAGTACAGAAACGATTCATGATGGAAAGCCCAATCTTTGTGCTGATAACATGCTTACAAGTATTGGTATGTTTACAGCAGGGGTTTGGGGCCAAGCGGCACGATGTCGTTGACGTGATGGTGCACCTTCTACAGTCAACAAGTTTTTCCGTGCATCGAGGCCCTTGTCGATACCCTGAAGCCTACAACCATCTAGGGACTCGGACTCCAATAGCCCTCAATGAAGGTACCTTCTCTAAATCGCATGAACCGGACACACGAATCACATCACAACCCCCCCCCCCCCCCCCTCCCAGGGTTTCTTGTTACGATTTAGACGGGTTTTCCCTAATCAAGAAACCCTAAACCCTGCTCCCGAAGCCTGGAGCTCCGGGTGGAACCATATGAAACCGACGATCAGGAATCTACAAGAAAAAAAACACAGATGCCCATAACCTAAATCCCAAACCCTAAACCCTAAACCCCCACCCCCCCTCCCCCCCTAAGACTCTTCCAAAGGAAGCTGTCCTAGCAACTAGGGTTTAAGGTTGAGGGTTTAGGTT